AGCGACAAAACAAATGTTGATCTGTAAGGATGAAACAAAGCAAGCAGGACCTGAAAGGGTCCTAAATAAATGAAGCTAAATATGAAGAATCAAAAATTAAAGTGAGAAATGCGACAGTCTGCACCAGGTCTTCCAGCTTTTACGTTTTAACACAAAAGTCAGAACAAGCAAACTGAACGTAAAAATGTCTCTCAGTAAACGATGACTCATCAGATTTGTGTCGTGTTATTCATCGTTTCCTCGGTCGGAGGCAGCTCAGCAGTGAGTGTGAAGCTGCTCTTTATTCAGAGATATGCATGTGGTACGGTGTGTGTGTGTGTGTGTGTGTGTGTGTGTGTGTGTGTGTGTGTGTGTGTGTGTGTGTGTGTGTGTGTGTGTGTGTGTGCGCCCACATCCCTGTCTGTCTGTTTCAACCTTCCAGCGCCCCTCTCTTCAAAGACAGATTGTATAATTTCACCTTCTGCTTCCAAGGAAACGTCCCCAAAAACCAAACTGCCTCAATTCAGGACAACGGAGACTAACCCTGCAAACAGCCAACGTCGCATGGACGTACCGATCATGTCTACATGGAGTCTGTCCATCCAGACCACGTCTGTAGGACGTCCAAACTAGGTCTTTGCACAGTGGGGAGGGTTAGAGCTGAAGTCCAGCCTTAACTAGTAAAGCTACACTAGCAGGCGGCGTTCAGATGTTTCTAAGTGCTGTGGTTTATTGGTTCAGTCTTTACTGATTATACATTGTTTTAGATATAACCTGACAATTTGAGCTTCGTTGCCGTGTTTTTATTCATACAACTGATCTTTTTAATTCTGTTTTGCAGGTAAACGATTTATTTTGTGTTGATATTATGAATATTCTGCTATATTTTGTACGTCTCAGTCTCCATGATGTTCTGCTGCAGTCAACGTTTATTTTTCATGTTGCATGATCCAAATGTACCTATTCCTTTAAAATAAGTTCCTTTGTTTAGATTTTCTCTTTGGCTAAATAATGTTGGGAAGTTTAGAAAGTGATGCAACCTTCTGATTACGGGGCGAGAACTTAACTTCTGTGTAACTTTTCAGAGGTTTTAATCATTTTCTTGAGCTACTATGTGCTAAAATGATCCTTAACAGGGTTAATGAAAATTATCTGTCCCCCACCACGCCCTGTAGCCAGAATACCGCACTTGCAACTTCAGAGTACCCTGCCCACTCCCCAAAGTCACACATCTTGCCTGAAGTAGTAACGCTTTACAGACGGGACAACACGCTGCACCTGGTTAGCATTTATTGTGACATGTTGGTCCTGGTGGAGCCTCGAAGGAAACAAAGAAAAGATTCATCTGATGGAACTAAAAAATAAAAAGAGCGTCTGACCACAACAAGAGTCAACATCGGGAGTTTTCTGACTCACAAGAGCTCAGAGACAAAGCAGGATTCAAACTGGACGCAGTTTGGGCTGGTGCAGGGGGGCTGGTGCCCATCTCCAGCGGTCAGCGGGCGATCAGGCGGGGTACACCCTGGACAGAGAGCCAGTCCATCGCAGGGCAACACACACACACACACCTAACAGTCATGTTTTTGGACTGTGGGTGGAAGCCGGAGAACCCGGAGAGAACCCACGCATGCACAGGGAGAACAGGGAGATCCCAGGCCAGGAATCGAACCCAGGACCTTCTCGCTGCAAGGCAACAGCTCTAACCACTGCGCCACTGCGCAGCCTACTTTTGAAACAATAAGCCAATTTGATATTTTCATGCTAAATATTTGTATTATTATTATTATTTTTGCTGTCGGTCCTGACTGCAGCTTTGGGAACCACTGCTGTTTTTCAGCCTAGTGTACAAACATCTTATGATGCATCTAAATGCTCAGAGATATGTGATTATTTCTGATTTTGAAGCACTTCCATCTTTTTAAATCTAAGTAGTTTTTCTGCTACAGAGCATGAAAATGTAATATTTCTGCAGCAGCTGCCCTGAATGTTCCACACGGAGTTAACCTGTAATTTTTAATTAATCCCAGCAGCCATCCACCACCTCAGGTTGTTTCTCACTGGCGAGGCCCTCGTCGTCCAGCCTGTTCCCTCTGCTGCTCCCTCCTATCGATGCTCAGGCAGTAAAAGGGGGGAGGGGAAAATCCCAGCCTGCTGCCCATCCCCCCTCCCATCCTGACTGCTGCAGAGCAACCACGATGGTGTCACCCACCCTCCACCCATCCCAGCTCCACCTCAGCCAAACCGGGTGCAGGTGCTGCCGCGTGCATCCGCGCTGTAGATCTGATGTTTAATGTTTATTCTGTAACAAAGCCTGCTGCTGAACAAGCTCATGTCATCACACGAAGGCGTGGATAATTAAAGACGTCAACCCGTGGACGTGTACATTTGATAGCTTCAAACTTATGAGTCACTGTGCAGAACAAATGTTTTTTCTGCAATAATCAAATGTGAACAAATACAGAACCTGACCTACATGTCTCGTGTGTTTTGTAATCAGAACGTAAGCCCCAACAGGGATTCAGGAGTTATCTGGTGACTAAATGAGCCACGTGTACTAATAGAAATATCCACTATAGTATTATCTGTTGGCCTAGATCGAAGGTCTGCCTCCAAGCGGAGCCGAAAGCTGCTAAACGACTAAAACCTCGAAGATACGAGGGAGCAGTTTACAACAAAGCAGTCAAAAACACAAGTCTAATGTTGCAGGTTTGGCTAAATGTTTAGTTCCAAATTAAATTTATCCAATTAATTTACTGATATTTGATCGGGCTGCATGCAAGCGCTGTTGACTCGCAGCGAGAAGGTCACAGGTTTGAATCCCAGCTGCAGCCTTGCTGTGTGGAGGTAGCATGTTCTCATGCGTGGGTTTTCTCCAGCGTCCTTCACCGGACCAGAAACATGCATGAGTGGATGAACACGACACACATAGACGCAACCTTTGATGCTAAATCAGTTAAACATTGCTTGTATAGACATAGATCATACACAGATTTAAACAACGTTGTAAATGATGACCCGCACTTGTAGCGCCTCTCAGAGTAAGGACTCCAAAGCGCCTTACACTACAGTGTAGCATTCATCCATTCACACCCTGGTGGTGATGAGCTACGATGTAGCCACAGCTGCCCTGGGGTGCACTGACAGAGGCGAGGCTGCCGAGCACAGGCGCCACCGGTCCCTCCGACCACCACCAGCAGGCAACGTGGGTTAAGTGTCTTGCCCAAGGACACAACAGCAGAATTCTCTGTCCAGAGCCGGAATCAAACCTGCAACCTTCTCATTACTGGACAACCCGCTCTACCTGCTGAGCTACTGCTGCCCCATAATACCCATTGTAGTTGTGGTGAGGAAAGTGATGAAATGCCCCACATCATTTTTATTATGGGAAACTATAAAGCAGGTGGTTGAAGTGTGAAATGTGGTGAAACAGCTTTAACAATCCTAAACGAGTCAGCAGGAATGCTAACGGTGGCTAAATATACAGCTCCACAGAGTCGGCTGTCCAGAAGAGCTAGGTTGTTCCTTTTATCTCGGGGATATCCAGAAAGTTCTTCAGGACCCATCACACCGTGCTGTTTAGATGGCCGAGGTGCAGTTCCTTCAGCATGCTGACAGCTGCTAATCTTCATTCTAAGCTAGTTGGATACAGTGGCGTGTCCAGATCTTTTAAAATGGGGTGGCCCAGGTGAGGCACAACTTTGTGCATGGGTGGCACCAATGGTTATGCTTTTTTTTTTTTTTACCCCCAAGCCTTTTGTGGACAATGAAAAAATGATTTAAAGGTAAATTAGTGTGGTGGCACCTGGGGTGGCCAATCAGATTCCAGGGGTGGCATGTGCTACCCCAGGCCACTCCCTGGACACGCCCCTGGCTGGATAAGGGACCATATGACGTATGTAATCATAGATCTGCTGTTACGTTTTTTCTGCACATGAAGATGTCATTTGACAGTTTCTCATCGCCACGATGACAAAAAGCTTTAGACCTTGAACTAAATGAGGAGAAAAATGCAGTGAGTGTCCTAAACGCGGCGTGTAAGATTCAAAATGGGGGTGTCTGGATGCTAAGTACAGCAGATAGTGCTATATTTGTGGGTTTTCTTGTATTAGCCCACGCAACAACCCAACATGGGGTGGATGAAGGGTGTGGACCCAAAGATACTGCAGCGAAGCCCCAAAGCACCCTCAGATCTGATGTTTAAGCTCCCGCTGGATGCTGCAGCACCATTAATGACCATGGTGCTGATGAGATGATGTCTGGTTACTCTGCAGGCCTGTCTGACTGACCCAGCTGACCAGGATGGAGCTGTGCTAGTCAGGCCTGTATCAGCATCACACGCGCGCGCACGCACACACGCGCTCACTGCTGAAGCGGGTTTGGTCTCATGGTGATGGAGTGGATGAGCCTAACCGGGGTTATTCGGTACCGATCGACCGCTAAGCGATGAGGGGGAAGGTGACGCTAAACCAGATGACGCGTAATTGTGTGGAATCCGTGTCGCGTCATTTAAACGAAGCAGACACGGGTTTGTTTGCGCTGAAAGGTGTTTTTACGCAGCTGATCTGCTCCACTAGAGGGGTGAGGCGCTGCAGAAACCAAGCAATCCCGCAGATCCGAGTCCTGAAATCACTGCAGGTTATTTCACATCAGCTGTCAGATAGAGATGTGCGCTCCACGCAGCGCGGATTGTTTTCCTGAATTAAACGCTGATTCGTGCTAAAGGGGGGCGGATGGAGGCAGCCCTTTATTTGGGCTTTCCGGGTTCTGTTGAGGGGAAAATGCTGCTAGGTTTTAATCTGAGGTCCGAGCCGCTTTTTAAAATGCGCATCATCCGCAGACGCACGAGGAGACCCGCAGTCTCTGCAGGATGTCTGGCCTCAGCTTCCTCACTGCGCTACTGATTTACAACGGAACAGCGCCGCCTTCATCCTCATCCTCCAGACACCACACTATTCCCAGCAACATTCCCACTGAAGCGCGTCTCCTCGTCCGCGGAGCAGAAATGAAGGAAAAGCTCTTACTTTCACCGACCACCGCCTTCAATCCGATAGGTGCCATGATGCTGCGGAGAGCTGGACCGACTGATGAGCCTGCTCCCTCCTCCTCTGTCTATCTCACACCGCAGCGGAGAAGATGGATACGTCACCGCGTATCTTTCCGCCTCCAGCCCATTGGTGGGATTTCACTCGTATTTGACGCGTCTAAAAACTGATTACGTCCCTAATTAACCTACAGACTCGCAGATAATAACGTCCATGGTATCTCATTAGTTACATTACTGTGATACATCTAGATTTCAGGTTTTAATTCACACTTCAAGAAAGTTATTTCAAATATTTGTGTTAAATTTTGTTGATTGGTTGTGCTCTTACAGCTGTGATTGATTAATGTGCACGCGTTAATAAAAGGGCGTGGTGCTGCTGGTTGCCGGTCCCCACTGAATGGTGCCTGCATGGTGTTTGTTCATTCCTCCGTCAAGGGTAGCTGTCCGTCGGTTCTCCTGTCTTCAAATGGCTGCGTCAACAATTTGACATTCATGACATTTAATTAACACACACACACACACACACACACACACACACACACACACACACACACACCCACCCACCCACCAGACTAGACCCAAGCTGTAGGCTGTGTAAAGAGGCCCCTGAGACAACCCACCACATACCTGCAGGGTGTCAGATGCCGGCAGGGAAAGCAGACATGGAACACCACAACCAAGTAGCTGGCATTGTGTACAGGAACATCTGTGTACAGTATGGACTGTAAGCTCCAAGGGGGTAGAGAACGAGAGAACCAAGCTCCTGTGGGACTTCCAGATCCAGACTGATAAAACGGTGATGGAAAACCAACCGGACATTGTGGTGGTGGACAAACAACAGAGGACAGCCGTTGTGGTTGATGTGGCGATACCAAGTGATGTTAACATCCGGAAAAAGGAACACGAGAAACTAGAGAAGTACCAGCGCCTCAAAGAAGAACTTGAGAAAGCCTGGAGAGTGAAGACATCGGTGGTACCCGTGGTCATCGGGGCACTCGGGGCAGTAACCCCCCACTGGAGGAGAGGCTAAAGCAGATCCCAGGAAATACATCAGACCTCTCAGTCCAGACAAGTACAGATCTAGGACCAGCTAAGATACCGCAGAACCCTCTGGTAGAAGACCCAAGCTTGGAAGGATGAGACCACCTGTAGAGGGTTAGATGGGAATTTTGTTTAATATACTTGCATTCATATAAAATTCCCACTGTTAATTGGATTGGGGGGGTTAAACCACCAAATGGTTCCCGAGCGCGGCTGTGTCTGCAGCTCACCGCTCCCCCAGGGGATGGGTCAGATGCGGAGAACAAATTTCGCACACACATCAGTGTGTGTGTGACAACTAATGGGACTTTAACTTTAACTTAACACTGGTTCAATGACACGGTTGAACCGTCCCCATGGAGAGCGGTGAGCTGCAGCTGCGGCTGCAGGAACTATTTGGTGATTTAAATCCCCAATTCAACTCCTGAGCATCAAGCAGGGAGGCATTGGGTCCCATTTTTAAAGTCTTTAAAATGACCCTACTAGGATCTGAACCCTGACCTCCCAGTGCCAGGGTATGCACTCAAATAAGCCACTGAGAAAGTTGGTAGAGTCAGAGTAAGAGCATCTCCACGTGCAGTGTGAAGGGAACTCGGTGGATTTGGGCTGAATGTCTATGTGAGCATAAGAAAGCCGCTAATCAGTGAGGCGAACTGGAGAAAGAGGGAAGGTCTGGTGAGTCCAGATTAATAGTAAATGTAGATTAATAGCGCCTTCTTGGGGTTCTACAGCCCCCCAAGACACTTCACAATACAATCAATCGTTCACCCATTCACACGCTGGTGATGATTAGCTACAATGTAGCCACAGCTGCCCTGGGGCGCACTGACAGAAGCGAGACTGGCACCACCGGTCCCTCTGACCAGATAGACTCAGTCCTCTGGTGAAACATCAGGGTAAGAAGAGTCGCATGACTACCCAAGCATAGCACTGCACCAGCCTGTGGGGGAGGTCTAGGGTCATGAGCTGCTGCAGTTGGTCAGGTCTAAGTTCAGCTCATGGGTGGCTCAACCATAGGGGGTGCTGAGGTGCCGCCCTCCCACACGCGGTGGAGGGAGGAAATATCAAATACTTAGATTATTAGTTTAATTTATTTTTACACATTTTTACAAATTATTCCATTTTAAATAACTCAACTGTGTTTAAGAATACTACTACCTTTACTGTTTACAGTACCGGAAACCAAACCGGAAGTAACAGTAAAATGTTCTGGATCACGTCGGGCTAAAACCTGCCCCTTCAGTAGGCTGTAATTACGAAAGTGTCCACGCGGGGGCAGCAGAGTCGCGCTCTAAAAACCAGCCAGGTGTTTTTTTTTTAACTTCCACTTGAAGCTGACTCAGTTTGGAGAGGAGTACCTGGACTAAACCACCACAGCCGAACTAAAAAACAACACATTTTTATTCTGAACTCGCACCAAAATTGTGTTGCTAGGCAACGAGAAGATAAACATCTGTCAAAACCGCGGTGATGTGTGACCACACCCTGACTAAACACGTTGGACCAGTGATGACTCCTGAGGGTGTGTTCTGTCCCGTAGCTCTGAAACAGAGCAGTGTCCTCCTCCTCCTCCTCGTGCTGCTGCTCCTCCTCCTGCTGCTCCTCCTCCTCCTCCTGAGCTCTCTTTTTCCGTTTTTTTTTTTTTTTTTTTTTTTGGAGAACCCAGGGACGCAGACGCACCCAGAAGCGGGTAGACTGGAGGCTTCCCCCAGGAGAGTCCTGGAAATAAAAGCAAAAGCGTTTGTTTGTAACGAGAGCAGCAGAGCCAAGAGGGTCTCCGAGGATCGCCGGTCACCATGGGGGACGTGGTTTCCTCTCACCTGGATGAGAACAGGCGGGAGATGATTACAGGTAAGGAAGTGCCTCGAGTCTCCAAAACAGCGCCAAGCTTCTCAGTTCCCGCTGCGCGTTTTACTGATCCTCAGCTGCTCAGTTCTTTGAAGCTTTATTTCTGGAGGTCAGGAGGTCTTCCTGGTAGCTCAGTCCCATGGTGCTTCTGACTCCCACTGAGACCTGCACATGTAATCAGTGGAACCAGTTTAATGATGCATCTGAAGACCATGCAGCCTGTCTGTTTATCTGCGTGTGGCTCACTGGGAGGTTCTGCAGGGTTCTGCAGCAACTGGGGGTGTTAACAAACATGTTCATTAATGTGCTTTCATGATGAAATGTGATTTAAACTTCATGATCTTTGTCAGGAGGCTGGTTTGATGCATCAGGAGGTAGAACTCTAACATGATGAGGTTTATTTTTCCATCTGAGTCACACCAGAATCGTGTTTGTGTTTAAGACTACAGCGGAAACTAAAACGATGTGATCGACGTCCATGACCCAAAATACAGGACTAGATTGTCTAAAAAATACTTTTAGGAGTTTTTAGATTACTTATGTTCACTTTTAGTAAAAAAAAAAAAAGACATGTAAGCATTTCAACATGGTGCCTCAACAGACAGCAGCTGCTGAGACGACAGATGTTCAGGTGTGTAGAAAGAAAAAAGAAAATGTGGTTAGCACCAAGTTCAGCTTGAGAAGTCTTTAAACGAGCCTTTTAACCGACCACCATGGAGCCGATCCTGCAGAAAGTTTACTTTAATACCATTATTAATCAAACTGTTAAGCACGGCGGTGGGCTGGTTATAATTTGGGCTTGTGTTGTAGTTGGTAAACTGGGAACGTTGGTTTCCCTGCTGGGTGACAGACTGGTTTTGGCCAAGTAGCTCCAGAGTCAGAAAACAAACATGACAGAGGAGGGCTCCTGCAAGATGGTAATTATCCTAAACACATGTCCTAATCCTCCGAGGATTACCCAGAGAAGGTCCAGTGACCCAACCTGAACATTACCAGTCTGGATTGAACTAAACAAAAGGCGTCCAGTGGGACCCAGAAGTCCCAGTTCGTTCCAGAAATGAACAAAGTGTTTAAAAAAGACCAAACAAACCGTAAAACACAAAACGTTTGGAATTCTGCTTTAGTTTCACCCCGTTTGAGTCTGAATACCAGGAATAGTGAAGTGTGTTCAGACCAAGGGAGAAACACGAAGGGAGTAGTCAGGATAATGAGGTGCAGCAGGTAGAAACATGTCACCTGCTGCCTCCCTCCCTCCCTCCCTCACACACACACACACACACACACACACACACACACACACACACACACACACACACACACACACACACACACACACACACACACACCCTCTCTGAGGTCCGATCTGCTTTGTTTGCATGTGTGAAGCAGTCGTGAAACAACCAGCGTGTCCTTAACGAACTCCTCCTGAGAGTGTGTTTGTGTAAGCTATCATGTATCCATCACTACCTTTTGTAGTCAGTTTCACCTTCTGGATTCTTCTTCAGGGCGTCGATCCTTCATCAAGAGTCGTGTTTAACTCACAAGTCTTCTGCTAGAGATCCTCCTCTGTGCCTCAGAGTAATTACAGGTTTGCTTTAGTGAGCGAAGCCTGTGCGTCGTGTGTCAAGTGCACGGCTGATGGTGTCACACGCTGTGGTGCTTCTTTACTGTTTTTAGAAGCTCTAGAGGCTTCAAGCACAGCATTTAAATGCTTTATTTTGTTTTTATTCACGTTGCGTGATTGGAATCGATGTCGTGATCTATTAACCTTTCTTCTTCTAAATTATTTTTCCAAATTCAACATAAACAAGCTGCTTATTCATGAATCTAACCAACGCCTAGTTGATCAAATACGTTGTCCCAAAATAACTCCAGAAGAAAACACTTTGAGCTTTTATCACATTAAGATGGAAATGGCGTCCACACACTGGGCTACATTCTTGAGGGAGTCTCAGAAATGTCTCAAAGGGCTTGCAAGGGTTGTCATTGTCTGTGGCTGAGTTGAGGTGACCTTGTGTTTGTCTTGGTAGAAGTTTGAACATTTTATTTCTCTCTAAATAGTCACAGAGTCATTGCAGGCCTCTTGAATTCGTGTGGAACCAGTCTCCATTTAGTTTCTGTGTCTGAAAGTGAGACAAGTGCTTGACGTCTTTAGGAGAGGTTGGTCACGAGTGAAGTTTATGTTGGAAAAGCAGAAATAAAGAAAACGATCTTTCTATAGCGCCTCTCAAGATAAAAATCATGAGGCGCTTCACACAAACAAAACAATTCAAATATATTCAAGCAGTAGTTGGACTAACTGGAGGACATTCTGTGTGAGACAACATTACAATTGAAATCAAAACAAATTAGGACACGTGACTCCGTTGAAGAAGAAGTCCCGTTTTAGTTGGAGTTCAAACACATAAAAATTCTGTGTGATTCCAACTGAAATTTAGCACATTTTTGGGATTTCAGCAGCTTTATTCTTGAAAAGTTGGATCCTGAATTCATCCATCCATCCATCCACCCATCCATCCATCCACCCATCCATCCACCCATCCATCCATCCATCCACCCATCCACCCATCCATCCATCTATCCATCCATCCATCCATCCACCCATCCATCCATCCACCCATCCACCCATCCATCCATCCATCCATCCATCCATCCACCCATCCATCCATCCACCCACCCATCCATCCATCCATCCATCCATCCATCCACCCACCCGTCCATCCACCTATCCACCCATCCATCCATCCACCCATCAATCCATCCATCCATCCATCCATCCACCCATCCATCCACCCATCCATCTTTCCATCCATCCATCCATCCATCCATCCACCCATCCACCCATCCATCTTTCCACCCACCCATCCATCCATCCATCCACCTACCCACCCACCCACCCATCCATCCATCCACCCATCCATCCATCCATCCACCCATCCATCCACCCATCTATCCATCCATCCATCCATCCATCCATCCATCCATCCATCCATCCATCCATCCATCCATCCACCCATCCATCCACCCATCTTTCCATTCATCCATCCATCCATCCATCCATCCATCCATCCATCCACCCACCCATCCATCCATCCATCCATCCATCCATCCATCCATCCACCCACCCACCCATCCACCCATCCATCCTTCCACCCACCCACACATCCATCCACACATCCATCTATCCATCCATCCATCCACCCACCCACCCGCCCGTCCATCCATCCATCCATCCAAACCACCCACCCACCCATCTATCTTTCCACCTGCCCATCCATCCATCCACCTTTCCACCCGCCCATCCATCCATCCATCCATCCATCCACCCATCCATCCACCCACCCACCCGCCCATCCATCCATCCATCCACCCACCCGCCCATCCATCCATCAATCCATCCACACATCCATCCACACATCCATCTATCCATCCATCCACCCACCCGCCCATCCATCCATCCATCCATCCATCCACCCACCCACCCACCCACCCATCCATCTTTCCATCCGCCCATCCATCCATCCACCTTTCCACCCGCCCATCCATCCATCCATCCATCCATCCATCCATCCATCCATCCATCCACCCGCCCATCCATCCATCCATCCATCCATCCATCCATCCATCCATCCACCCACCCACCCACCCATCCATCCATCCATCCATCCATCCATCCATCCATCCATCCATCCATCCATCCATCCATCCGCCTGTTGTGGTGAAGAGAGAGCGGAGCCGGTGGATCTACGTTCCTACCCTCACCTATGGTCATGAGCTTTGGCTAGTGACCGAAAGAACAAGATCGCGAATATAAGCAGCTGAAATGAGTTTTCTCCGCAGGGTGGCTGGGCTCTCCGTTATAGGTTGTGAAACTCGGCCATCGGGGAGGGGCTCAGAGTAGACCCGCTGCTCCTCCACATTGAGAGGAGCCAGTTGAGGTAGCTTGAGCATCTGGTTAGGATGCCTCCTGGATGAAATTTTCTGGGCACGTCCAACTGGGTGAAGACCCAGGACACGCTGGAGGGACTATGTCTCTCACCTTGCCAGGGAACGCCTTGGGAGTCCCCTGGAAGAGCTGGCCGAAGTGGCTGGGGAGAGGGAAGTCTGGGCCTCTTGGCTTAGGCTGCTGCCCCTGCCATAATGGGGGTAGAAGACTATTTTCACATTCTGTGAAACTAGGGCTGCTCAATTAATCGAATTTTAATCACGATTACGATCTGAGTTTTGAACGATTATAAAAACAAAACAAGCCGATTATTTGCTCCTCCCACTTGCGCTGCCCTGAGTTGCAAATGAAGCGCTCTTCCCACAGTGTCGCCAACTTGGCGACTTTGACGCTATTTCCAACAGCTTTTCAGACCCTCTTCTTGACTTTTTAAATCTTAAAAGTACCTAGCGAACATCTCAGAAACATCTCTGGTAACCCTTAGCTACTTTCTGGATAAATGTCGTCGACATTTCCTGCAGGTTAGCTAAACACTTCGCCTGCGCTCCGGACCGTTCTTCAGGACATTAGGAAAGGGAATGATGTAGTGATGTGTCAGTCGCTAAAGAAACGGCTCTCGGAGCCGGCTCCCTGTTGGAGTAACCAGAGTGAGTGACACACACACCACACCTGCGGGCTCCTGAGCCACTAAAAACGGCTATATGTGCGTGTGCGGCGTGCTAAACACACGTGCAGCTTGCCTCTGATTGCTGTGAGACCGGGTTGGGGGGTGGGGGGTGCAGTTGTGGTTGGGACAATTATTACATTAACTGATGGACTTGTAAATAAATAGTTTATAAATAAGGTAGAAATAAGTTCCTCACGCTGATAAATAATAACTAATCTCTCTGAGGACACGGTGCTTGTGCACGCTCCTACAGCACCTTGACTAGGGATGGGTACCTTTGACATTTGAATCGATTCGGTACTAATTCCCGGTACCTAGGAATCGATACCGGTACTTAACGGTACCAATTTTCGATACTTTTGAGTGTTTATTATTTTAATTCTCTTTTATAATTAAATATATATTTTTCTCAATATATAACAATATTTGATAAATATCACGATAAATAACATACAACTGTTTGTATTTTAACATCGTCCTTGTAGTTTTGGAAGCTGATAATTAAACTGAAACAAACAAAATTTACTGTGAACTAAATTTACTGTGTATCTTCATTCCTTTTACCGTCTTTTTTTCATTTGATTTTTCCTACTGGGAAGTTAGAATTTCCGAGGAGAAAACAAATGCACCATTAGCTGATAACAATGGTGGCAATGGAAGCTAAAATATCAAGCTAACGTTATCTTAAACAGTTTAACTGCTGGAGCAGATTAAAACGATGATGCCTCACACTTAGATTGTTGTCGCTGGTTTCATCTTCACCCAATCACCCGTTGCATTTAGTAAAGTGAAGCCAAATTTTAGAGCGCGTTCATGTTCTAGTCGGAAATTCGGAGTTCCGAGGAGAAAGCGAACGCACCATTAGCTGATAACAATGGAAGCTAACATATCAAGCTAACGCTATCTTAAACAGTTTATTTAGCTGCTGGAGCAGATTAAAACGATGATGCCTCACACTTAGATTGTTGTCACTGGTTTCATCTTCACCCAATCACCCGTTGCATTTAGTAAAGTGAAGCCAAATTTTAGAGCGCGTTCATGTTCTTCTAGTCGGAAATTCGGAGTTCCGAGGAGAAAGCGAACGCACCATTAGCGATACGGAAGCTAACATATCAAGCTAACGTTATCTTAAACATTTTATTTACCTACCGGAGCAGATTAAGATGAGGATGTCTCACTTAGATCGTTGTCGCTGGTTTCATCATCACCCAGTTACCCATCACATTTAGTGAAGTGGACCCAAGCTTTAGCGTGCATTCTTTCTACCATGCTGCTCTGTTTACAACTGGCTCGCAGCGAGCGACGACATAACGCTCTTGCGCATGCGCAGCTGTCTTGGCAAGTTCTCGTTATGAAGGACGGGTACCGAAACGAGGCACCGTTTGAAATGACGTGAATCGGTGCTCGGTCGGTACTATGGAATTCGGTCGGTACCTTAAAAAGTACCGAATTCGGTACCCATCCCTAACCTTGACATGACTCAATAAATGCTATGCAACATTTTGTGAACATCAATTTATTTGCATTTATTTGTTATAAATGCCACTGTATAATTCTTGCTGTCAGTATTTGCAAGATATTGGTATTTGGGTCTGTACTGGTTAGACTTACATGAGTTAAACCAAGGTCTATAGCCCTTGGGTCATAGACTATGAGCTATAAGTATATTGGTCTTTTTATACTGGGAACCAGGAGTTATTTTAGTGATCATCTTGTTTCTTATTTATTTTTGTCCTGATTGTGCCCTGAGCAACTTTATGACTGAATAAAAACAAATAAAATCAACATAAATTGAAAAATCGTCCTAAATAATTGAGATCTCTATTTCAGTCACAATAATCGTGATTATTGTTTTTGCCATAATCGAGCAGCCCTATGTGAAACTCAGAATGACTGATTTGTTATTCAAGATGAACAAGTGATAGACGGTTTCTCAGTAAAGCCTAGCCTGACATCCTAGTCTGGCCACGACCCATAGAGAAAGTTTAGTCATTGGGAGTCTACCGTTGTCTTTCAAACCGTCTCCACATCCAATCGAAATGGAACAACGTGACGTACTCACTGCTATGGATGTCATGCAGTGGGGCAGTCCGTCATACACTGTAGAAGAAGACACAAACACGTCCTTTTTCTAAATAACGGAAACAATACCTCGATCTGCTCTTGACTCGCTGAAAATTAAAAGTCTGAAAAGTCCAAAGTTGATGCTCGTTTCAAACGAGCCGTCACAATCTTAGTTGTTTCGCTCCATTGCAGCAACCCCCCCACCCCCACCCCCACCACCAAGTTGATAGAGCGCTGTGATTGGCCCACCAGACTGAAGGAGTCCATTGATTGGCATAACACAAAGCTGCTCAGGCCAATGGTAGACCTGCAGAGGCTCCTGGAGCGTGGCTAGACCGACATGTGGAGCAAAATCATTTAGCTTCAGCTCCTGTCTGTCAGTATTCTTAAACCTTCACTTTAGAGGTTAGGAACTGATGGAATTAAAAGCAAATCTGCAGCAACGTGAATGTTGGAAGGAATTTTTCGTTCACCGGGGAGAAAAGAAAGTGATATTTTAGATGAGACGTTTTTTCCAGAGCAGGTATAGCAGGGTTTTATTATCTGAATTCTTTATTTCCAACTTCCTGGTTTGGTAAGGAAGCACCAATTTTCTGCACATTCAGGGTTCAAACAGTCACCAAATACAAACGTACTACAAATGAAGTATTTCATGTTTACAAAACTGCAACCAATCAGTGAAAGTGTTTAAAGATGAGACGTATCAGATGTCAGATTCTACAGACGTGGGTGGTTATCTCAGCAGAGTCTGCTTGTCGCTCCTCTAAGTTTTCCTTCTGTCTGATGATGAGGTGCCTGTCCTCCGTCTCCTCCACATTCCCTCTCTCCATCCTGTCCTGTCAGCTGTTTCCTTCCTGCTCTCCCACTGCATCTCCTCTCCCTCCTTCCTGTGCGGTTCCTTCCATAAACACAGCACGGGTCAGGCCGTTTCCTCTCCTGCAGGTTCTTGGAGTTTTCTAGCTTTCTGAAGCGTTGTGCAGAAGATCTGTGTGATGGAGAGGTGAAGAAAGTGTTCTGATTGGACATCAAGAACACATTTATTGCGTAAACTCAGGCTGACCCTATTTTTAAGTGATCTATGATCCAGACCTCTCTGTTGCCAAACTTGGGGTTCAGTAACATGAAGCCCACAGATACTTCAGCTTGTGACCTGCTGGGTCTGACTGCTCTCCCCATGGTAGCACTCAATGGGACGTGTCCCTCTGAGAGGAGCCTGTGGGTCAGATCCAGAGTGTTAAGCTGGTCTGGAAACACCTTTAGAGTCCCTCCAGGTGAGCTTCTTCCAGATGGACAGACGTCTACTCAGCAGCTCAAAACCTAGGTGATGTTTTTATGCTTCCTTAGAAGATAAAAAGTGCCAGAGTATATTTTTTATTGCTAATTTTCACTTAAAAATGTGTCAAGTGCAGGGCAAACTCCTAATATTGTGACATCAGTTGTAATAAACTCCTTTGTGTGCTTCTCTGGGCTTCGAGGGCATCGGATTGACTAATTAATATGTGCAATAATACATGTGCTGATGTTGCACATGCTGGATATCACAGCTGTTCATTTGTTGTGCAGCTCTAAACACTAAAGCATGCATCACTGTTTGCATCAAGAAAACTGGCTCTCAAATAAAACTGGATCGAATGTAATCAGATTATTTGATGAATCTGACATTTTGTTAGCGTGAAGTTCAGTTTGTGTTAATCAAATGAGATATTTTACATTTTATTATGCAGCAGCTTCTGGAAATGATCCGATGACTGGAGTTAGTCGTCAGCTGAACATCTAAAAGAGAATTTAAGAGAATTTATAAAGGAAACAAGGTGAGCTTTAAAGGTTCTTCATCTTGACTGATTGTGTAAACACCTGCAAGGATGAACCTGCTCCTTGTGTGTGTGCTCCAGATTTGTGTTTATCACATCAAATCAAACTTTATTTATACAGCACTTTTCACGCATGGGAAGCAACACAAAGTGCTTCACAGATTAAACTGACCCATATAACCCACATTCCCTCCCTTTCTCACACTTAAAACAATTGTGACAGTTTCACCCCCAATCCACAAACCATTCCCAGACACACACACTCACACACACACACACACACACACACACACACACACACACACACACACACACACACACACACACACACACACACACGCACGCACGCACGCACGCACGCACGCACGCACGCACGCACGCACACACACACACACACACACACACACACCACACACACACAACACATACGCGCACACACACACACACACACACACACACACACACACACACATTAAAAGACCACAGTAAACACTAGGCTGAGCTCAGATTGGACAGGTAATGAAAGACGCGCCATCAAGGGAGCCATCTGCCTCGACAGCAGCAGATCCACGGCAGCAGCCAAGACATCAATCCAGGGCGCCCTGGAAGGGAGGGTGGCAACCCCCCACCACTACCTGGGCACTACCCTTGGAGCGCCCCAGCGACCGACCACCGGTCCCGAGGCAGAGGGCTCCACCGAGGAAACACTGGAAGGATTAAAATACGTGACGTAAAATAACAAGAGCTAATATGGAAAACATGTCAAATGCATGATGTAAAATATCCAGTTAAATGTGATTATGCAAATATAGCAACATAAATGTGTAACACTACAGTAATTAAAATGAATAAATAAGTAAAACAAGCAATGCAATAAATAGTAATCAGTTAAAAGCTAAACTAAAAAGGCGGGTCTTGAGCCTGATCTTAAAAACATGAACGTTCTCTGCGGCCCTGAGGTCCTCCAGCAGCCCGTTCCAGAGGCGAGGGCCGTAATAACTAAAAGTCGCCTCGGCGTGAGTGAGTGTGTCCTGACTTCAGGAATGACGAGGAGACGGCTGCCAGAGGAGCGCAGGGGCCGCGAGGGTTCGTATGGTAAAAGCAGTTGTGAGAGATAAGACGGGCCAAGACCATGAAGACACTTAAAAACCGTTAAAAGTATCTTAAAATCGATCCTGAAACATACAAGCCAGTGCAGTGATTCTGAGAGCGGAGTAATGTGCCCGCGCGTCCTGGTCTTCGTCAGGACACGAGCTGCTGAGTTGTGTAGAAGTTGTAGACCTGAAATCCTCTTCTTAGGAAGACCAGAGAGCAGGGCACTGCAGCAGTCTGCTACTGGTGATAAAAGCACGCATCAGCGTCTCCGCATTAGCCCGAGAGAGAACGGGGCGGACTCTGGCGATGTTCGTGAGATGATAAAAACCAGTTTTGGTGATGTTTTTAATGTGGGGGATAAAAGTCAGGCCCAGGTTAAGACGGACTAAAAGACATCGGTTGTAGTTTTGGTAAAAGTTTCTCTCGCTGGGCCTCAGGTTTTTAGTGATTTTATTTTTACGCATGTCCTCCTGCAGGTCGGACCAGACGTGTGATGAGAGACTTTGGCGATCTGTACGAGCAGCAGTACGCGGTCGCCCTCTTTAATGTTGTTCGCTTTGAGATCGAAGGAGGAGGAGGAGGGCAGTCCCAGCTGCTCCACAGGAAGGTAAAAACTCCTCTGAGCTCCAGCAGCATCAGCTGTGATGTTCGGGACAGAGCTGCTGGTTTTCTAATGACAAAGAAAATATGGAGATTTTGAGACAAAGCATAATAAGAATGCCCTTTAGCCCCTTTTAGCGGGGTAAACACCCAAATGAATGCAATGGGGACGAATGGAGAGACCCATCCAAGATGGCGGCTGGCGATATCAACCTTCAGAACATCAACCAGAGCAACTGGGGAACTTTTAGGAGGATTACAACATTTTTAAATCTACACAAATATTTAAACTCAAAATGGAAAGCATCAGGAACGTGTAGAAGCCGTTTTTTTCACCTGTTTTTACTTTAATGCTCTTTTTCTGGCCTCTTTAACATTTCCTGCCCTGACTGATTGGAGATTATTTGATCCAGAATGGGAACTCTGAGCACCAACTGGGTGGTGTAATTCCTTCTGTAAACACTTCTAGGTAAAATTCCCATCCTGTGATTGTTTGGAAAAGTCTCGTTACTCCTGAACTCGCCCGTTAGTCTGATTTGTGTCGGTGAAGAGAATCAAGTTTCACATTTCTGAATCAGAGGGGTAAGTTTCTGATTCCTCTTCCAGGATCCGTTGGCAGGTCGGAACATCTTCTCTGGGAATCTGTTCCAGTACCTGGAGGAGAATCGGAAGTGGAGGAATCGTTTTGTTTCAGTGCCGAGCGGCTACACCATCAACCTCTATGAGAGCAAATCGGTGAGCGGTTGGATTCATCTGGAGCAGCTGATCGCTGAGAGATTCTTTGTTTTCAAACTGTCGTCTGATTCCAGGCTCACGATCGAGGACTGCATTCGAAGGTCTCCATCGACTGTGCCGGGTACAAAGCGCTGACGTCCATGGAGGAGTACATGGAGCTGATAAACGACAGCCTTCCAGGTCAGGAACATCGACGCCCGAGAGCTCCACAAGCCGGCAGCCGCACAGCAGACAGGCGCCGCTGCGATCAGAGATGCGCCAAGCTGTCGCTGAGGGCACCGTACAGATAGTGGGAACCCAGCTCCACCAACATGTTATATTTCAACCCATTTTCTAAAGTGCAGCATTATGTTAAATGCACTGGGTTTTACCCTATTACATTTAAATTTCATGGTTAAACAGTACATGTTAAAATCTAAGCTCAGCTCGGCAGTGACCTAAAATACATTAATATAATTTTACTTACCGAAATAATGAAGTGGAGACTAGAGCCCTGCACTGGAGCCCTCGGCCCGGGCCGACAACCCGAGGGCGGGGCTTCGGGCCAACGACTGTGTAGTTACCTCGGACACGGGCCGGGCCGGGCGCCTTTATTTTTAATCGAATTCATAAAAAAAACTGAAACACTTAAACACAGCAGCACCTGCCTGCTTCTCACGCACCGTTAGCTCAGTTAAGGTGTGTGTGGTTTATAAACGCGCCGATATAAACGAATTCTCAAACTGCTGACTGAAACATGTGCCCCTGTTCTAATATGCTGTTTTATGTCCACTTTGATGTCAGAAACCATTCGTTTATTCTCATGAAAACGGCAGCATTCTCTTTTTCTGTGAATAAATTCGCTCTGCAGTTAAAAAATACATCATTCATTGCTGTTTTTTTCTAACTGGAGAGCGAATTTTCAGAGCGGCAGATTAAATTTACAAACGCATCCAATTAATATAGTGTTAGTAAATGTCATCTGCCGCTCGAAAAACACGCTCTGTTAGAAAAAAAAAGCTGCATTGATGCTGTTTTTCTTTCTTTTCTTTTTTTACTGCAGAACGCTTCTCACAGATAATCAGGACGCGGAGCATTCTATCACGCTAAAACATTACGAAAGGTTAAATAAAAGTCGGGCTTGGGTCGGGCCAGAGAATCCTGAAAACCTTTTCGGACCGGGTCGGCCTGGGGCTCCACCCCCTCGGGCCGGGCCGGACACGGGCTCAGATTTTAGGCCCGTGCAGGGCTCTAGTGGAGACTCCTTGGACGCTCTATTAGTGCAATTAATGCCACAGCAAGTCATTTTGTCCAACAATTGCACAAATAATATCCAAAACAGAATACACAAACACAGAGACTCAAAATCCCGGAGCAGTTTCCAGGCCAGACCGAGGCTCTACTGAGGCCTTTCTACGGAGCTAGCTCTGTGGTCACGTGTGTCTGATGCTCATTAATTATACAGAATTTTAGGCTTTTAATACACTTAAACAGAAGAGTGAGAAAAACATTCACCCCCCTCAGAGTTGTCATGAGTGTAAACTAGATCATTTAAACCAAAAACATGTTCTGGTACCAGGCTGTAAACATGTTTATTTCTGCTGTCAAATTGGTATTTTTAACATGGGAGTCAATGAGGATTTGCTCGCTTCTGACACCAGCCCCTAGTGGATGAGGGTGGAACTGCAATTTTTGGTACTTCCGTGTTTGGCTTCAATTCCAGACCCGAATTATGGGGGCTTGGTCAGGAAGTAAACGGACAAAAATTCATCTCTAACTATATAAAAGATGACCTCACAATGAACTTTGACCTTGTAGGATTTTTTTTTCTTAAACTTTTTTTTTTATCTGTTAGCAACGCAAACAGGGTCAGTGGTCGAGTCATGTGTCTGTTAGCCAATCAGATGAGAGATGTCCAATATCAGGAAATATGACTCCACATCCGTCTATGTTGAGCTTGGCTCTGATCTTGCTAACTTCTAATTCCCGAAACAGGCGTACCGGAGCGCCCCCCCCCCCCCCCCCCCCGCCACATGGACCTCAAGGGATAAACCATCAGTCCTGCTCAATGGTCACCTTTCCTCGCGGGGTCACACCCATTAGGACAGTGGGAGGGTTAAAACTTATTTTCAAGCCTTTTTGCACCAAATGGATACTTTTTTTTTTTTTATTGTGGGAGTTAAAAACAATTCGGGTTAAACGATTCTCCGACCTGTTCGGTGTCCCGTTGCAGGAGTCAAAGCCAAAGCTGGGGGCGTTCCATTCATCAAATGCCCGACCAACTTCCCCCTCATCCTCTGGCACCCGTACGCCCGCCACCACCACTTCTGCGTGATGACGGAGAAGGAGCAGAAGAAGTGGCACGCTGTGCTGCAGGACTGCGTCAGACACAGCAACAACGGTGACGACACACACACACACACACGCACACACACACACTAGAATTTAATAATCCTTGTCCTGTGAGGGTGTGCGAATCTCTTTAATGCAGCAGGAATGAGGCGTGTCCTCTTTTGTTTACGGAGCCTCGGTCTGTTTCGCATTTTATAAAAGGCATGTTGAACTGAGACTTTGACTTCTTTTGATCATTTTGGCCAGGGGTGGACTGGGACCAAAATCTGGCCCTGGCATTTTTATGAACCGTCGGCCCTCGGCAGGGGAGGTTGCCGCTCGCGACTCGTCTATCCCGCCAAATTTTGGGGGAGGGACGGGGTGTTGTGTGTGCTGCTCGCGCACTTGTCTCTATAACCGCATGTGAGATGGGGGCTTGGTTTGGGACGACCCAAGCTGGCCAAGCGGCCCACCGGGACAGTGCCAGAATGCCAGATAGGCCAGTCCACCCCTGATTTTGGGTCTAAACCAGTCTGAGAAGTTTTGTGTTTACATTTGAGTTGAAACTCATTTTTAGGGTTTTGCTGCATAAATGTGAATGTCACGCTGAGGGTTGGAGGAGTAGGACCCACAGCGCAGGTACCCAGAATGACACGAGGCAGGAGAGGACGTAAAATTAAACATCCTTATTAAGATGGTGAGTCCAAAAGAAAACCTAGAGAGGCACGGAGCCAAAAAACCTGGAGACATGAAGATCTGGGGGGGGGGGACAAAACAACGCCGACACGAACCGTGAACCAACAACGCTGAGAGACAGACAGGGTTACATACACAGAGGGGAGCAATCAGGAAACAGGTAGCAGGTGTGTGGGGAGTGTGAGCTGAAGGGATCAGGAGAGGTGAATGAACTAAATGGGAAAGGAACATTGTTACAGGAACAGACTGACTGGAAAAGATAACTATACAGAGAATTGAAGATAAGAGAATTAATAAACCTGAACAAACACAAAGTCTTCTGCTTGGGGAACTAAAGAGACAGGGACCAAAGAGAGGGGATCGATGGGGAGACTAGACTAACTTGGGTGGCATAACTAAGAATAAAGTGACCCGGGGAAAACCTGCAAGGGACTGGGGACCACAAGGAGCACAGGACCTGAGGGGACACCTGGGATGCAGACAAGGAGACATGAGGAAAACCTAGAGGGGGATGGAGAACACAAGGAGACACATGAGGGAGACGTGACGGTGAACTCATAAAGTTTAAAAGGAAAGGAGCTTGCTGCTGACTTTGGTGTATATTTAGGGACGATCTGCCTTTAGGAAGACGTTTTTGAAGGCGCTTGTTGTGCGGGGCGGGAAACGTCTTGTGATCTGGTCCTGCTTGTGGTTTCATGACTCACGTTTCATTGTTTTGAGGAGGGTGTGCAAACACAAGGTGGTTTCACCTGCTGCCTGTTTGTGTGAATGAATCAAATACAGCCCACCTCCAGGATCAAAACCATGTTTCAATACGACAGAGTTTGAATTTTCAGTCAAGTGTGCAACGAGCTGGCCTGTCTTATTTCTACAAACGGAAAATAGATAAAAATCTGAAATTCCAGCAATTAACGGCTAACGTGAGGGGACTTGTTTTACCAGGTGGCCAGGTGGGAATTCACTTGGTGTCGACAGATTTGGACTAAGCCGATGATTCACTAAGAGTCAGCTTTCTACTCACTATATGACGTACGAGTTTATTTCAAGGGGACATTGCAACGATGGGAACTGTGGCGTCAACAAGTCATCTCCATGCTGTGATTTTGTGCAGCTCAGCAACGGAACCAGGTGAATTAAAATCACCTGGTTTAGTTGCTGAGCTGAAGAAAAACACGTCATGGAGATGACACAACCCCCCAGCTCTGGTTCTACGGTCAATGCAAAACATGTTCCTGACGTTTTCTACTAAAACCCTCTCACATAAAGAACACTCAGCAGGTTTGTTCTTGACAGTTTCAGTACCTTCCAGAATGAGCCGTTTAAGGGCTCTGTCACTTTAATGCAAATAAAGCTGCTCCTGGCCACGCCCACTTCCCCTGATTGGCTGCAATGAGGTGAGCAGCTCCGATATCCAGGATGGGCTCAGAGTAGAACCGCCGCTCCTCCTTGTCCAGGTGACGAGGGTTCTTAGCTAATTATCTTCGTTATGACATCACAATAAGGAACTTTTTCAAACAGTTTAAAACCAAACACTGACAGAAAACAGAAGGACAGATTTAACTGGTGTTTGGACAGTTTATGAAGCCAGTAGAGACCAACATGACCGTGCAAATCTTTTTAATATCCCCTTTAAACATGATAGCAAACAACATAAATTCATTTCTTTACAATATAAAATCTTTATCATTCATCTGGCAGTGGCAGGTACTTTACTCCACTTAGTATCCTTCATTTTTACAGACTTTTATTTGTAATATCAAATTTCTCAGTTTGAGTTGGAATTGTGATGGACGAGCATGCGGGTTTGAGCTTTAATCTGAGTCAGCTGAAGCAGAGAGGAGAGAGAGACACACAGGAGAAGGAACACAGGTGGAACATGAAGTGGCATCAGCTGCATCTCCGTCTAAATGCAAAGCAGCGTTTTCTCTCAACACCGACTCTTTTCATCAGACTGATAACAAAAGTTTAACCTTCACTCTGAATCATGGGAGGCTCATTTGAATGCGCCAAAACCATTTTATCCTCCAATAAAACAGTCTGCAGCTGCTTTGCATCTCTTTAACTTTTGCAAATTTCAGATCCGTCAGCAGCAGACATCAGCTCGGTGAAAGTATGACCGTTTTCACGCTGCTGAGTTAAACCAGCTGAACTTTATGATCGAGACAGCAGGGGTTATTGTTTGCAGGAATTTAACTTCAGATTCAGATTTTTTTGTCTTCCTCTCCTCCAACATGGAAGTTAGCAGTTGCTCGGGCAAATATTAGCACTAACTTTGACTAGCGTTAGCAGCATCTTGGGCTAGCATTGTTCTACGGTTAGCATTACCACCACCAACCACAATTCGCTGACAGTGAAATAGGTTGTGACATGCTTATTTAAAGCTGCAGTGGGCCATTTGGAAAACAAACTAAATTAAAATATATTTTTCATGCCTCTTAACAACGTTCTAACATAGTTCAGCTATAAATACATTGTGGAGATTTAAAAAAAAATGAAAAAATGTATTAAAGTGGCTCACATTTCTCTAAAACCCCCCACCAATGACACGTTTCTGACCGAACGCAACTATCGGACCATCCGGTTGTCGGTCTCGCCAAACCGCCGCACTTCCCTGGGTCCTTCACTCATAACAATAACAACAGAACACCACTGGTGTGAGAGGTTCTCCGCTCAGTAAGGTCAGAGAAGGAGAAACAGCCGGCTGCTACCACTTCTGCTTTAGGACAAACGACCAGAGTCCCAAAAAGAAAAACACCGTTTGAAGTCACGGACAACAAAAGATGTTTGGACCTAAAAAAACAGCGACTGGTGTTTAGCGCTATCTCGTTTCCTTTAGTTATGCGAGTTTCCGGTTCTGGTGGATGCGGCTCCAGGGAAGATACTCGAGGGGAGGGGTGAGTGTTCCCTGACCATGTTTGCATTCAAAACCTAGCTTGTTTGCGGATTCGCTAAAACCGTTTTAAGGTGATGTGTCTCAGCTAATGACGTGTTAAACCAGCCTTCCTTAGTTTCTCAGTGGCCGTTGCAACATTACTCATTTACACAGGAAAGCAGATCGGAGACAGCACAAACGTTTTGATATGTTGCGTATCAAGATGCCTACATTCAAAAACAACAAGGTCAATGCAGTTTTGGATTTTAGGTGTAAGGGTTTAGTTTACATCTAATCAATGAACCATAAGACATGAGATTCCATAGTAAATATGAAATCAATCTTATGGATCTTTGGGTAATTTTAACCAGAAGATTGGTATTTTTATTGCAGGGATTATGTAACACTTTGTATTAACTGAGAGACAAGAGAAGAGAGAGTCACCTTTAAAACGTTTAAGAAGATTTATTTCTAAACAGTTTTAAACAAGACTAACTCTAAACTCTAAGTGATGAATGGATGGATCTTGGTGTGAATGAGACGTGAGATGAACGGTGTATGTGTGAGTGATGTTGTCATCAGAACTCTCGTATCCGGAGAAGCAAGTCTGAGTGATGAAGTGATGTTTTGCTCTTAAACTATGATCGGAGTTTCATAAACACATAAGACGCCATGTTGTCGCTCCACACATACCCTCCAGGATGAGACCTCCGTACAGATCCAGAATTCCAGGTCCTCGGACCCCCCTTCGGTACCGGAGCCGATGAAACAGCGTCGGCAGTACGACAGACTAGTCTTTGCATTGTCTCCAGGTAAAAAGCAACAGTTGGTTGACAGCGTCAGATGGACCCGGAGGGTCAGTGAATTCAGCTTTTATTCTGAAAGGAACCGTTGCTTGGTTGGTAAAATGCAACAGATTTTATCCAGCTTGTTGGTTCTTTGCTTAAAAAGGAAGTCCGGGTGGCCGGTCCGATACTTCTCTTAGCGTGCGGTGAACTGAACTAAGATGGCGTGGGGACTGGTTTTATTAATCTGGATGTTTTGATTTCTGGTCGAATCAAAGTTGGCAGATTTATAAACACCACAGAGACTATGCCACGCTTCAGAAAGGAAGGTTCGTGTGCATTACGTGGGATCAGGATGTCTAGTGCAGCTAGACTAAAGTCATATTACTCATTAAACTTACTAATCATAACATTGTCATTTCACAGATTGGTCAGCATTTTATTATTGACTAACACTTTGTTTGATTAGCTTTATTAAAAATAGTTCTTTGATTTATTAAAAGGAAAGAGTCCTTTGTCTTCATTCTTCTCTTGAGCTGGAAAGGAAGCAGTTTAGAAGCGAATGCATGACCTTGAGACAGTCTCATGCAGATTAGTTCTGTGTCAGAGACATCTGAGGAGAGGGTAAATAAACTTCAGTGGAGTAGCTCCTTCATCACGTTACATAGGACACCTTAAGGAAGACCACATGATACTTTGGTTTCAGCTGGTTTAGAC